TAGAAACAAAGAAAACAATACAAAGAATCAATGAAACAAAGAGTTGGTTCTTCGAGAAAATCAACAAGCCTTTATCCAAACTAACCAAAAGGCAGAGAGAGATTATCCAAAATTATCAAAATCAGAAATGAAAGGGGGGCATAACAACAGACACAGAGGAAATACAGAGAATCATCATATTTTGAAAACTTGTACTCCACGAAATTAGAAAACAAAGGAAATGGACAATTTTCTGGATAAATATCACTTACCAAAATTAAATCAAGACCAGATAAGCAAATTAAACAGATCTATAACTGCTGAAGAAACAGAAACAGTCATCAAAAGTCTCCCAACCAAAAAAAGCCCAGGACCAGGTGGTTTCAGCTCAGAATTCTACAAAATTTTCAAAGAAGAACTAATATTAATATTCCTCAAGTAATTCCACACAATAGAGAAAGAAGGAACAATGCCAAACTCTTTTTATGAGGCTACAATTACCCTGATACCCAAACCACAGAAAGACATTACTAAGAAAGAGAATTACAGACCAATCTCTCTCATGAACATTGATGTAAAAATATTAAAAAAAAATACTGAAAATCGAATCTTTGAAGAAAGAAATTGAAGAAGACACCAGAAAGTGGAAAGATCTCTTATGCTGCTCTTGGGTAGGCAGAATTAACATAGTAAAAATGGCAATCTTACCAAAAGCAATCTACAGATTCAATGCAATGGCCATCAAAATCCCAGCAAAATTCTTCAAAGACCTTGAAAGAACAGTACTCAACTTCATATGGAAAAGCAAAAAACTCAGGACAGCAAAAACAATCTTGAACAATAAAAGAACTTCTGGAGGCATCACAATCCCTGACTTCAAACTCTACTACAGAGCTACAGTACTGAAAACAGCCTGGTATTGGCATAAGAAAAGACAGAAGGATCAGTGGAACCAAATGGAAGACCCAAATATTAATCCACATACCTTCAAACACCTGATTTTTGACAAAGAAGCAAAAAAAAATCAAATGGAAAAAGAAAGCATATTTAACAAATAGTGTTGGCATAACTGGATTTCAACATGTAGAAGAATGAAAACAGACTCATATCTATCACCATGCACAAAACTCAAGTTCAAATGGATCAAAGATCTCAACATAAAGCTAGCCACACTGACTCTTATAGAAGAGAAAGTGAGAAGAACACTTGAATGCATTGGCACAGGAGACCACTTCCTAAATATAACCCCAATAGCACAGACACTGAAAGAAACAATTAATTAATGGGACCTCCTGAAACTGAAAAGCTTCTGTAAAGCAAAAGATATGGTCAACAAGACAAAAACGACAGCTTCCAGAATGGGAAAAGATCTTCACCAACCCCACATCAGACGGAGGTCTGATCTCCAAAATATACAATGAATTCAAGAAATTGGTCGTCGAAAGAGCAAATAATCTAATAAAAAAATGGAGTACAGACCTAAACAGAGAACTCTCAACAGAGGAATCTCAAATGGCTGAAAGACACTTAAGAAAATGTTCAATATCCTTAATCATCAGAGAAATGCAAATCAAAGCAACTCTGAGATTTCATCTTACATCTGTAAGAATAGACAAGATCAAAAACACTGATGATAACTTAATACTGAAGAGGTTGTGGGGAAAAGGGAACACTCCTGCATTGCTGTTGGGAATGCAAGCTGGTACAGCCCCATTGGATGTCAGTGTGGTGATTTCTCAGAAAATTAGGAAACAAACTTCCTCAATACCAAGCAATACCACTTTTGGGTATATATCCAAAGGATATTCAATCGTGCCACAAGGACATGTGCTCAACTATGTTCATAGCAGCTTTGTTTGTCATATCCAAAACCTGGAAACAACCTAAATTCCCCTTGACCGAAGAATGAATAAGGAAAATATGGTACATTTACTCAATGGAGTACTACACAGCAGAAAAAATAATGACATCTTGAATTTTGCAGGCAAATGGATGAAGCTATAAAACATCATTTTGAGTGAGAAAGATAATTATCACATTTACTCACTCATAAGTGATTTTTAAACATAAAGCAAAGAAAACCAGCCCACAAATCACAATCCCAGAGAACTTAGACAACAATGAGGCCCCTAAGAGAGACATGCAAAGATCTAATCTACGTGGGAAGTAGAAAGTAGAAAAAGACAAGATCCCCTGGGTAAATTGGGAGCATGGGGACCTTGGGAGAGGGTTGAGGGGAGGGGAGAGGCAGGGAGGGGAGAAGAGAAAAATGTAGAGCTCAGTAAAAATCAATGAAAATAGAAACTTAACAAAAAAGAATAACTACATGTCAGAAATGAAATAGTGCAATGATACATGCACATTTAAGCATCCTTTATAATACACTCATAGTGTTTCCTTCTAATCCGACAGATTGCACTCAGAGCCCAACGGCAGTTAATCCTAAACAAAAACCGAGCACGTCAGTCATCCTGTGGGACTACCGCCATTACATAGTACTCACACTTATAGGCACATTTCCCAGGTGAGCCAACAGGGGCAGAGCATCTACACATGACTGCTCATTGTCTCAAGAGGAATACTGTCAACCAGGAAGTGGTGGCACACGATTTAATCCCAGCACCCAGGAAGCAGAGGCAAGTGGATTTCTGTGAGCTTGAAACTAGCCTGATCTACAAAATGAGCTCCAAGGGGAAAAAAAAAAAAAGAAAGAAAAAAGGAAAAAGAAGAATACTGTAAAAGACTCCAAAGGACTCAAAGAAATCGGGTATTAGCTCATTTCTCCACATCCTAAGCCACTCTGCACCTGCCTCTCACCCTGACACCATTGAAATATATCCAGGACCATGATTTCCTTGGGGATTTTGCCCACTAAAACCTTAGACTTTGTTACTCTACGAAGCACCTTGGTCTGACAAAAGGAAAGAAGCAAGTCCCATTGCTCTGATCTTACCATGTGGACAGGACCTCCCTCCCTAACCCTAGCTCTTCCTTTACTACATTCACTTCAAAGTTTCTCCACATGATCCATCAACCAGATAAACAGCTAATAAATTGAACATGTTAGTATGTATGGACCTCTGAGAAGCAGCAGAAGAAAGAAATCACATAAATATATCTGGACAGGCTTCTTTTCCTCATTCTGTGTTTTCATACCTGTAACCCATGGATCCAGCACCCTCCTTCCTGGTTCCCTCAACCAGCATGATTCCCCTGCCCACCCTACCACCTTCGACTGGCTTCCCTTAGACAGGTGCTTGTCTATCATCCCCCCAAGATTTCATCACTGATAGCATCGCTCCGTTCAACTTTCAGCATCTTCTGCTTATTATCTAGGTGTATGTGGTTCTTATGTTCCTCTCTGGAGACTCACAGGCAATGGCTGGAAGCAAAATGCTGCCATCAAATGACTTAATTAAGGATTTGAAAATGTTGTTTCATTCTCTAGCCCCCACTCCCTCTGATCCTCTCTCCCCTTCCCTCTCTTTTCTCCTCACTACGTCATGACTCTTTTTATAATCCCACTGAGTTGCCCTAGTGCAGGAACTGCGCGCATGACTATGGAACCATCCACTGGAGCCCGGGCAGCCTATCAAGGGGCACAGTCCTGAAGAAAACTGGCGCGCACCCCGTTCAAACAGTCTGCAACTGCCACTCGCTCCTCAGCTAGGAGTGTGACCTCAGGAGCCCGTTCCTCCTCCATGCTGGAAGGTTTTCCTTGGATTGATCCTGCCCAGGGGTTTTGGTGAGTGAGCACAGCTACTGCGAGTTTGTATGCGCCACACCACGCCATGCTCAGAAGATGGGCTTTCACAGCATCCTCTGCCTTGATCTCTCTCCACCCACTCTTCTCTACGGATTCCTGAGCCTTGGGATTCATCCCAAGGCACACATTTTAAGTTTTGAAAACATATTAATGTCAAACATCTCCTTTATGAAATCGAAGTTTTCTTGGGGGGGGGGGGTTTGGCTCTCCCTTTCAGAATCAAAAAAGGCCAAAAATAAGCAAAAATACCTTCATCTATAATGCAATTTAATAATTTAATTTTGGCCAACTGAAAAATCAAAGTTCAGAAACAGTTTTTCTATTGATGTCCATTAAATTTAAAATTCTATCTTAATTTCAGTTCTCATTTGGGTTTGGTATATTCAACAATTAATCAAATATAAAAGCCAATTAGTTACGATTGGTTATGCAATCATATACACACCTCAGAATGGCTCTATCAGAGTATAACATTCAACAGATACAACTAAATCTGTTCACAATACTAACACATCTGAAATTTTTTTTGCAAAAGCTTTATCCGTAGCACACATACATTTCATATGCCTTCATCTATATTAACTTTGTTTTCATGTATATGCCATTAGAATATCTGCATGAGTTTTCATACTCTTAGGACAACATATGTAAATAAATCACACGACGATTTAAAAATTTAGCAGCTAAATATGCAATCTGTTAAGCATAATCAACCATGCTATTCAACACTGCGTGATGTAATTCGGTCTTTCCAGAGAAAACACGTGCTTTGTATAAGAGTATCTTCACAGAACTTGATGTTTTCCAGAAATCTGTATTGACATATTTTCGCACCTTCAAAGTGTATCATGCAAAGCCTTCTGACTAATGCATAACAAAAGATAAGGTCCCCCTCACTGCATCCTGGCAGAAACCTCACTTCTCCCTCTGCCTGCCATTTGGAAATGTGATTCACCAATTTTAGTTATTTTCACAAAAGAAAATTCAAGTTCCTTGAGATTTTGTTCATATAAATGAAAGACAATATCAGAAATGAATGGTTTTCTACAGTTTTTTGTAAGCCATGCTGTATTTTAATTTCTATTGTCCACTTTATGAATATGATGAACATCACAGCTTCTTCTTTCGACTCTTCAAATAAATAAACGACTGTTTGATGACACACTGAATATTTTAATGCAGTCATCAAAGAAAACCAATAGTTCCATGTGCCTAACAGACTGTAAAAATATTAATTCTAAGTAAGAATCTCTACCTTGGTCTGAACTCTCATGAAACACAGCAGTTCTCTTGCCAGGTGGCACCATTTCTTTGGGTTCTGTGGGCAAAGAGAAAGAAGATTAATAAAAACAACCTTTCTTTTTACTCTTTAAATGCTTCTTAAAGAAGATTCATTAGTAATAAAGGTCACAGAAGAAAATCATTTAACACGATTCTCAGCTTCATTCGGCAGCTGCCTCAGGAGTCACTTGCCTTAAATGCCAAGCAATTCCCCAAAGGCCCTTTCTCCCTGCAGCGGAGAACACGGGTGACTGTGGCAGATCCGCACCTTGTTTTCTTTGATTCTCTTCTTTTCTCACCCAGAAATATGATTTGCACTTGGCAAGGAAAAGCATTAGTTTCCCCAGTTTCAAAAGATGAGCTATAAGCCATGTTGGGCCCCAACAGTTATGGGAGCACAAAAGACTGAAATGGAATTTGCAATTGTTCAAACTTACTTCCCTCCCTCTCTCCATGAGGATGGACTGCAAAATATTCATAAGAGTCTGCGTCTTCCCACAGAAATCAAAAGATGGGGAGTTGGAGGATGACTGGAAATAATTGCAGGTTTCCCTCCTCAGGAGATGAGGTTCTCAAGCTCTCCGATGCTGTGAACGGGGAGGAAAACACTCTCTGGGAGTCAGGAGTTATGGGAATATATCTTGTTCCCTCCATGAGCATACAATAATCTCATATTAGTGTCCCATAAAAGATTTTACTGCATCATTATCTGCACGTTCAGACTGGAGGGTGAGAAATTCAGGTCTGAGCAATAGCTTTTGCAGAAAGGGTTGTCCCGTAAGGAGGTGAGAATTTTAAATTCACCTCTAAGAACGTTACTTGGCTGGAGGAATGTTACCAGTTAAAAGTGGCATTAAATAATCAACTGTGTCAGCCATTATCAGAAATAATCATTTAGCTGCAATCACCACACTTCCCAGCTGTGAGAACTTGAGCAAGTAAATTTAACTCCACGTGTGTTCCCTCTTCCTCTATAATATAGGACTGATTATGCCCCCTACTTCAAAGAGTTAGCATGATGATTAAGTGAGAGAAATAAATCTAAAGGACAGAAGACAGTGTCAGCTAATGCAATTATCAGTGTAGTTATTAGAATTAATAACAACTTTCTGCTTTGGAAAAATCTGAAGGCTCCATTGAGAATCAACATCCTAGAGAGAGGCTTGGTAGAATGACTAAACCATAGCACGCGGGAAATGACCTCATTTCCTTGTAGATTAATCAAACTCTGTAATAGGGAAAGAAAGAAAGAAAGAAAGAAAGAAAGAAAGAAAGAAAGAAAGAAAGAAAGAAAGGAAGGAAGGAAGGAAGGAAGGAAGGAAGGAAGGAAGGAAGGAAGGAAGAAAGAAAGAGAAAAAAGAAAAAACACCACTCAGTTTAGATCTTTGGCAGATCCATGACAAAGACTGAATCATGTTTCAGGAAGATCATCTCTAAGTACCAGGGCCATTGTGAAGGCTGTCATCTTGAGTTTGCTCAGGACTACAGACTGAAGAAGCCTTCCAATACACTGTGATAGGCTTCAGGGTTCTCCTCTGGCGAAGCACTGATTCCATTCCAGAAACACCTGCAGAAAACCAGGCTCTCAAACACTTAAGAGAAATGGTAATGAAGGAAAAATCAGCTGAGCAAAGGTGTGCTCTAACGAGGGAAACATAGACCCAGACAGTTGTGCCAAGAAAGAGGCCTGCTTGTCTTCATTACACAATAGAATGTGTTGAAGCTGCAGAATACATGGAAAAGAAATCTGCAGGGAAGTGAAGATGATGGCGTGGAGAAAACTAGTTTAAGGCAATCTAAACGCAGTCTAGATGCAGACAAAACAGACAAGCCATTTCCTCTATGAAAACTGCACAGGATGGGATGCCCTTGAAAGACTGAGTCACCGTTTGGACATTGAATATCCTTCTCTAAGAAGCCCGTGTGTGGAACTCTTGATTCCCAGGGAGGTGTTAAGGGGACATGATGGAACCTGTAGAGTGGGATCTAGTAGAAAGACCTTTGATTGTGGGGAGTATCGCCCCAAAGACTTGGGGGGGGGGAGGACTCTTGCCCATTCTCCTGGCTCAAGAGGCAAGGAATGGGCTTAACCACTTACTACATACACAATATGCTGATCTTTTCAGAAGTTGAAAGTTAGGGCGCCGCTTATCCTGAGGGTGGGCGACACCTCCTGGCTGGTGCAGTAAGATAAACCCTATAAACCCTTCATAAAATAACTCTCCCAGTGTGCTGTGTTCTAGTGACAAGAAGCAGGCAGACTCAAACTTTCAAGGGAGACAGAAAACTGTATATGAAGAAGTAGAGTATAAGAAAATGAAGGCAGCTTTGCTATGCCAGTACCTGCTGCACTGTGCGCATTCTCAACTTCCCTTAACAAGCTTCTAGACTCTCTAGAGAAGAAGCAGCAACAGTGAGATGCAAATGAGCAAAATATAAGTATTTTCAGTAATGCCTCCATTTTGAAATACTTCTAAGGATAGATTTGAAAAACACGGTTTTAGTGCCAAGGAGATAACTCAGTGCATAGACACAACACAAATGTTATTTACCATGCATGCTGGATGACCTGGGTTCAGATCCCAGAACCCACATGAAAAGTCAGATTCCTAGTCCCAGCATTTACAATGCAAGTGTGCCTGTGCAAAATGGAGCAAAATGGAAGGCAGAGGTGGAAGTTCCAGAAGCCTGCTGTGCAGCGGGGAAGGAACCCAGATCCAAAGTATTAGACATGGTAAAGAAGTCTGAGGCCAACACCAAAAGGTTGCTCTCTGATCTCTAACTAGCATGACACCCGCCCCCCCCACACACACACATAAGCAGAGAGGGAGAATTTTAGAATAAGAAGCATATCTTGTATATTTTGAAAGTAGAAAATGTATTAGCAGAAATAAAACTAGAAAACTTTGGACTTCTGTCTCTGGAAGAGGCCGGAGCATAAATCTCTTCTCTGAAACAACGTGGTCGGCTTTAGGAAACCACTGAAAGATTTCCGTGGATGAGATCGGGCCTCGCCTAGACCAGCACCCAGAGATTTTTATCAGCTTCCTTTAACTCACAGCAAGTGTTCTTTTTTTTTTTAAATATAATTTTTTTATTGAAAAAAAAGATTTCCGCCTCCTCCCCGCCTCCCATTTCCCTCCCC